ATAACAGGAAATCCATATTTTTAATTCGTTACATGAGCATGTTTGAGAGGCTATCGCTGGCAAGGTCTCTGGAATATGAAGAGAGAGAACAACTTCGGAATGGCAAAAGCTACTCTATGCCCTGATGCCCACCCAGAAGTTCCGGACACTTAGAATACACTGCTTTGAGAGACTTTCTAGTTTTACTGAAAAGACTTCCTAGTGTCAGAGACTCCAAACCTGGAGTCACCAATGCCTCAGTGGACTCCAGACGGCCCCATGTTATGACTGATGGCAAGCTCTGAAGGAAGGGACACTGGTCACTGGGTAGTTTGAGGGAAGAGAGTCTCATCCCAGAAACAGTAGGAAGACCTGAGCAGGAGGCTCTGGAAAGGGTGTTGAAGAGGGAAGGGAAAAAAAGAGGGGTCTAATCCAGGTTTGGATACTAAGCAACTGTGTAGCCTTCATTTCTGGGGCCTCAGTTTAATTTATAAAATTAAATAGAAGGCCTTTAATAATAGAAATCTAATAATCCACAAAATAAGTCTCTAGTCTGGACCTCTGTTGAACTGCAGACTTTGATATCAGCCACCCACTTGAACCCCCCTCTCAGATGTTCCATAGACATCTTGTAGTTAATGGGGCTCCAACTAAACCCCTGATGCTCCCTTCTCTCTAGGCCTCTCTGTACCAGTTCCCCCAGACCATGGGGACAATGTCCCATAAACTTGGTGGCCCAACCAACAGAGGCTCGAAGTCTGAACTCACCATCAGGTTGGCTCCTTCTGAGGCTGTGAGTGTCCCAGGCCCCTCTCAGCTGGCGGTGGTCGTGCCAGTCTTGGCCATTCCTCGGATTGTCAATCTCTGCCTTCATCTCCACTTAACGTCCTGCCTGTGCATGCCTGTGTTCACATTTCCCCCTTTAACAAAGGACACTGGTCATATCAGATTAGGGGTCACCTTACCCCAGGATGACCTCCTCTTAACTCACATCTGCAACAATCTCTTTCCAAATAAGGTCACATTCTAAGGCCCTAGAAGTTAGGACCTCAACATATGAAAAGGGGTGGGTGGGACACACTTCAACCCAGAAAACTCTCTAGTCACGGTCTTTCCCATCTCAGTCAATGGCAGTTATTTAGGCCAAAAACAACGGAGTCATCCCTGAACCCTCTCTTTCTAATCTCCACATCTAATAATTATATCAACAAGTCCCACTGCCTCTGCCTTCGTAATTCCCATTACAAAAATGCTTCCCTTGAGTGTTAGTGAACACATTTGTTAATGTTGGCAAAGTGCTTAGAAGATGGAAGGACTGCATGTGAGCTAAATATGAGTAATACTGGTAGTAAAATTATTCATTTCCACGGCACTTCTCCTATTCAGTCCGTGCACAATTAGAAACTGGTTGTACATATTAGAACAGGTCCCGAATCTGACCGTCCTCGCTGGCTCTTCGCTCCCACTTGGTCTGGGCAGCCCTCACCTCTCCTTGTGAAGCTGCAGTTTTCCACCTGGTTCCTTACTCCCCACAGTCTAGTTAACAACTCCCACTGCCACAGGAGCGAGAAGATCCATTCCAAATGTCGTTCAGATGATGTCGTTCCTCTGCTCAAAACTCTCAAACAGAGCTGCCTCCACTTCAAGTGAGAGCCTGTGTCCTCACAAGTCCCTACAGGGCCCTGCACTGTCCCCACCCCATGGCTTGTATAGCCTCTATCTCGGCTCCGGTTCATTGCCCACCTTGCTGTGCCTTGAATACACCAGGATTTCTCATCATTTCTCCTCCTTCTCCTCCAGGTGTATGTCCCCTTCAGGAAGGCTTTCCCCAAATGCCCTAATTACAAATGAAGCCCTTTTTTTATGGAGCTTACAGCAAATGAGCCAGGGATGTGTGTTGCCCAACATATCCTGCTTTCTGGTGTAATTAACATCCTATGTGCAAATTTTTAGAACTAATCTGTCTTCAAGACTACCCAGGTTTGTCCACAAACAAGCAGACACAAGCAGGTGCTCAGATCAGGTAAGTTTTTTAAAGTCCTAATTTTTCTTCTGTCGGGAGTGAGCCAGTTCAAAACTGCCGGACAGCCGGGACTTGGCGCTAGCCAATGTTGCAGGAGCTCATAAATCTTGCTCAAGGGCGACATGAACGGCTCTTGCACCTCATACAACATTCATGGGACCTGAGCCATTTTCAGCCTGGATCATGTTGTGGCTGGAGGACATGAGCCGTGGTCTCAAAGGAAATTAGAACCTTTACCCCTAATCTCCTAAACGCCCCAATCTTTGACATGAGTGTAGCTGAGAATTGTGGGATGCTGCTCGCAGCATGGACCCCACATAGCCTTTGGTGGTGAGGGTCCCTCACACTCTGCATATTCTGCCAGACAAGGAGGCGGAGAGGGCTTCGCTGCCCCCAAGCCCTGCAGAACTCTGCCGACAGCCCGCCCTCATCTCGCCCATGGCTTGCTGTGCTTTCTAGCCAATACCGTTGCTTCTTCCGGGATCTGATGCTACGGTCTCTCTCTCTCCTCCTGTAATCCCTACAGTCCCCCTGGTACCCTGTGGGGTCTGTGAATGATGGAGGTTTGCCTCCACCTACCTGCATTTGGGGTGTGTGGGAGCACCTTCTCACTGGCTTTTCAATAATTTCGCCTCCCAGGTAACCACCCTCTACCCCAAGCCTTCCTCTTTCGCACCTTACAGCAGGATTTGTTATCCAAAGGGTAATTCCAACTCCTGGACAGTGAGGACCTTGTTCTGGGTCTCACAGATTGTGAGCTGTGGGTCTAGTGTTTGAACTCCCATCTGTTTGACTTTGAACCTTTTCTCTTTACACTATTCAAAACTGCGTCTCTCACTTAGCTACTGAAGTTGTTATTATTAACATTGGATATGTCATTTACTCTCTCTGGGAAAATTATCATTCTTTCTATGTATCCCTTAAATCTCTTCAATGTCTTCTGTTTTTCTCCATTTGCTTTTTCGAGAAACATATTCATTCTGGTGATTTTTGTCAGTCACTTTGGTAAAATATTTCTAACTATTCTCCCACTCTCCAAACTTCTCCCACTCTCCAAATTTCTTTCATTTGACCCTATATCCCAGATCTTGCATTGCCATTGGGACAGAAGTATGGGGACTTGGATTTGACCTGCCTTACATTCAAATCCTCCGGAAAAAAACAAAAGAAGTGGCATTGACCAGCTCCTCCCTCCCCAGGCCCTTTTACCACATTCCCTCCTGCCTGCTTGATTTCACACCATCTGCTCCATTAAGGCCGAGTTCTCGGTAGGGTTGTCACAAGCATTACAAAGTGTTACCAACAGCTGGTTAAGCATATTTATGCCACAGCGGAAACACGAGGATTAGATACAATAGCAAATATGGGCTCTTTGAGGGCATGGATGAGTAATGGACGACAGATGTGGTACATGATGTTTTGGTGCTAGAGACCAGCATGACCTGGGCATCTCTCAAAGGCAGCAAACCCAGTTCCAGTCACTGGGAAATAAACACCAGACCCTGGATGTCAGCATCTCCAGGAAGCCTGGTGGGATGGTTAAACTCTGGGGCCTGGGGACGGAGATTAGATGTGAGACATTCAGAAAGGCACTGAGCTTCTCCGTGCCTGTTTCCTCACCTACGATGCTGGTAACAAGAGCAGCTACCTCAGGGTTGTACTAAGGATCACGTGAGATAATGAACATAAAGCTCTGAGTCTAGTGTCCAGCACATAGTAATAATAGCTCAGTGAGTATTAATCATTATCATTATCATCTTCCTCACCACCATCCCTATGCTATATTAAATTTCATTGGAAATTTGTGGTAATTTAGGAGGAAGGTATAAAGCAATGAAGAAGAAAAATGAATTTTATTCACGTATCCATCCACCTAAGAAGAATTTATCAAGTGCTTCCCAAGTGCTAGGCACAGTCCCAGCATCGAAGATACAAGACAGAAAAGGTGCCTGTCCTCTTGGGTGCTCTGCTCTGATGAAGAAAGACAGAAAATAAGCCCAAGAAAGAAAGAAATGAAAACTACAAACAAAAATATCGGAATGGGATATACATTCTGCAAATTATTAAAACAGGCTGGGAGGAGGGGAGTACAGAAGGGGGAGGGTGGGAGATATCTATAATACTATCAACAATAAAAATATATTACAAAAAACAACAACAACAAATGAAAGGGCGAGGGCTACGCCCTCCATCTTACCCTAGCAGCCATGTGCTCGGCAAGGCTTCTTCCCGGAAGCCCAAAACTCTGCTAGCCACGCCCAGGATTTCTTTAAACTAACCAATGACAATCAAGGGAGGTGCACGCCATAGATATGATCACATCCCGTGTAACAAGACCCGACTTGCACCTGGCCAATTGGCAGGGCCCACAGTCACCTCTCCTCCCCTTACTCCACCCCCCTATAAAACTCCTCTTCCCACCGGGCTAGCTCTCTCTCTGCCACTTGGCTTGCCGTTGCATCGGTGAGTGTGGTCGGGGAGCCGAACTAGTTCGAATAAAGACTCTCTGCTTTTGCATCGGACTCGGCTGGCTCCCTGTTGGTCTATTGGGGATCTTGAAATCTGGGCATAACACAAACAGGCTTCTCTGACAGAGACCGGTACATTCTTTAAATGGGATGGTCTTGAACATGAGGAAAAACTATCATATGAAACTCAGAGGGTAGAGCATCCCAGCCAGAAGAGACAGCAGTGCGAAGGCCCTGAGGTTTAAAAAAAAAAAAAATACAAAAGCTGGTCATCTAAAGAGTGAAAGGAGCCCTAGCCGATGTGCTCAGTGGGCAGAGTGTCAGCCTGCAGACTGAAGTATTCCAGGTTTAATTCCGGTCAAGGGCATAGGCCCAGGTTGTGGGCTCAATTCCCAATTGGGGGGTTGGGTGTGTGTGCGGGAGGTAGCCAATCAATGATCCTCTCATCATTGATGTTTCTATCTCTCTCTTCCTCTCCCTTCCTCTCTGAAATCAATAAAAATATATATTTTTAAAAAGAGTAAAAGGAGGCCAGTGTGGAGTGAGTTTACAGGTGGGTAGAGAGGGGAGTGGTGCTTGATGAGGTCAGAGAGGTAGGCAGAGACCAGGTCATACAGGGCTTTAGAAACAGAGCAGGGAGTTTGGAATTTATTCTAATTGAGAGGGGACAACCAGGGCACTTGGCACTGGATTAGTCTTCTTATAGTAAACAACTACATAACTGGAAAAAATATACGAAACAATGACTTTCAGACACTGGGTGGAGGGCAGGGCAAAACTGATTCCTGAGAAGAGAAGTGCATGAATTGAGGCCCCAATCACCTTAGCTTCATGTGTGGATGGGCTTCCGAGAACACAGGGTAGGGAATTACAGCATGGACAGAGACAGTAACTTCACTGAGCTGAGGGGGCAGAGACCCGAGTGTGGGGATGCTAAGGTGACTGGAGTTTTACAGTGAGAATTCCAGGCAAACAAAATACAAAGACCCACAAACATTACAGGAACACCTGTGCTACCTCGCTGCACACCGAGCCCAGGAAACGCAGTGCAGATTATAAAGGGCTTTTTTTCCCTGAGCAGTGCCACAGTGAGAACCTAATATAAAGCTTTAAGCTTTAATACACTGTATCAATGCATTGCACTAAATACACTTTATTAATACACTATTTAGTACAGATGTATCTAGGAGATATTCCGGGTTCAGTTCCAGACCACCGTAATGGAACAGGTATCACAATAAACTCATACTCTTTTTTTGCTGGTGGACAGTCTTGCTTCCGTTTGTAAAGAAAAACAAACAAACAAAAATACCTGTGAAGCACAATAAAGTGCAATAAAATGAGATATGCCCATATACTTTAATACATGTATTTATATGGAGTAAGGAAGTCTTAACGACTGATTCCTAGAAGCTTAATTTACTGTTGCAGACCCAAGTTTGAAAGGCATTCATTCACCTGGGCTCTAAGATTCACGGAGGACCATCGGAGAGGGCCGGGGTCTTGGGGTCCCCCCTGCCGAGGCAGAAGCTGCAGGCGAGGAGTGGTTGGGGCAGCTTCAGCCCCTGCATCTCAGGAGCCACCTGGGAAAAAGACTGCACTGCCCACTTAACACAACATCCTCTATCTTTGGTCAATTATTGGATTAGAAAAGGGAGTGTTTAAGACAAATGGAAGATTTTAACATTAATCATCATCTAATGATGACAAAGCCTGGGAGATGTCAGCCTCTATCTAACAGATCTATCCTGAAAGCGATATGCACACTGACAGTTGAGGAAATCAATGGTTTGCCTGTATGGAGGACTGGCAGGATAGACCAGCTCTGACAGGCTGAATGCAGCAGAGGCTGGTGCAGAATGCAAAAATGCCAACTTCATATTTTGAGTGTAATGCGATTTTTTATCTAATTTCTAAGCCTTGCACATATGTTTAAATTAATGAAAATTCAGGAGCGAACACTGCCTTGGAGAGATGACATTAGAGCAGGACAGTGGATAAATAATTTAAAACTGGTATCTTCAACTGTGTACATTTTTTAAAAAATGTACATATTTATAAATAGATTCAAATAAGGTGAAGCAAAATGAACCAATTTTAGGCTGTTTTCCATTTTCTGTTTGTATGTAAACTCCCTGAGTCTGCAGGCTCACATGCCCAGCACCCCACACCCACGGCTACTTGGCATAGAGAAGGCAGGGGAGCTAGTGCTGGGAGGGAAGGTGGCCACAGTCCCAGGATACTCAGCTTTTTCTGACTTAAAATTTTTTATTTAGCGAACAACTAGTGTTATGAGAGAAGCACTGTGCTTACCAGATACTTATTCATCTTATTGGCATGATCATTCTGCTTTTCTTGATTCTGTTAATATGGTGAAGAGCGTTCACAGGCTTTGTAATGTAAAATTACCCTTGCATTTCTAATAAATTCTACCTGGGCATGATGGATGATTCTTTCATGCATCGCAGGGCTGGGTTTGCTAATATTTTACTAAGGATTATTGCATCTGTGTTCAGGGAGGAGATTGGCCTGCAACTTTCCTTTCTCACTGTGCCCTTGTCTGGTGTCAATATCAAGGTAGTAGTAGCCTCTTACAACGAGACTGATGGGAGAGACTCCTTTTATTGGGAAGGGTTTGGATATGATTAGAAATTATTCCAATATATTTTAATAAAACATATTCAGTGAAAGAACTGGCATTTTCTTATAGCTTCTACATATGCAGTTTTTTATTTTATCTCTTTAAACATTCCTTATATTTTTAAACATTTACTATGTAGGTTAATTTTGCTCTTTTTTGAAGCTCTAACAGCGGTTCTCAACCTGTGGGTCGCGACCCATTTGGCGGTCGAACAACCCTTTCACAGGGGTCGCCTAAGACCATCCTGCATGTCACATATTTACATTACGATTCATAACAGTAGCAATATTACAGTTATGAAGTAGCAACGAAAATAATTTTATGGTTGGCTC